AACATATAAAGTTACGGTGAAGAAAGAATTTTTTTCTCTATAACTATAGACTTTACATACAGTGGTTTTTGAGAAGAAGATTTTTTAGCATTCAGTACTTTTGTTTCTATTTTCCTAATTATCTCCCCTTTTTTAAGGGTCACAACCCTAGTTTTAGTAAAAATGGGAGTTGTTGGGCCAAGGATACCCTGTAACAAATTTGACAATAATTGGCCAAGGGGTTCTTGAGTTATGGCCCATATTATATAAAGCTTACACACATCGCACAAATGGCCATAGCATTAGCTCTTTGAGCCTTTGGCTCAGAAGAGCTAAAAATGGAAACCTCCACCGATTACTCTACTTTTCAGTTAATGCTGTGTTTTTCTTGTCGAATACATAACCTTTATAACAATAAGTCTGCAGATTTCCCATCCCTCATGTGAGAAATAGTGCAAAATTCTACATTTCGTCTATAATATGATTTTTAAAACATTTGTTACTATAAATAGAAATGGAAACCTCCACTGAATGTACTGGATTTCAGTTAATGCTGTCTCGCTCTTTTCAGTCGCCTTATGTTAACAACAGTAAATAAGAGTTAGTCTGCAAATTGTCCATCCCTAATGTGAGAAACAGTGCAAAATTCTACATTTCTTTAATAATTTGCAGTTTGTCTATTTTTAAACATTTGTTACTATAAATAGAAATGGAAACCTCCGCTTATTATTCTGCATTTCAGTTAATGCTTTCTTGTACTTGTTGTTCCCCTTATGTTATTAACAATTAATAGCAGTTTGTCTGCAAATTGTCCATCCCTAATGTGAGAAAATAGTGCAAAATTCTACATTTTCTTGATAATTTGCAGAATGTCTATTTTTGAACAATTGTTACTATAAATAGAAATGGAAACCTCCGCTTATTATTCTGCATTTCAGTTAATGCTGTTCTGTACTTGTCAGTCACATTATGTCAGTTACAGTTAATGACAGTTAGTATGCAAATTGTTCATCTCTAATGTGAGAACTAGTGCAAAAAATCCACATTTCGTCATTAATTTCCCATGTGTCTAATTTTAGACATTTGTACTATTTATAGAAATGAGAGCCTATCCTCAATAATGTGTGAGTTATTGTATTATCCCATGTTCTAATTGATGAAATATTGGTGATAGCAGTATGTTTATCACTTATGTTTTAGTGGAGCTTCTAAATGATAGAAAATAGTCATTTTTACACATATTATGAGACATGTCTAGTTTAAGGCATTTGAAGCTATAAATAGAAAACGGAACTCCCTTCAAATAATATGCATAGTAGTTATTGGTGTCCAGTTTCTGTCATTAACATATTGACTTTTACAGTATATTTCTTAAATACCTACCAATGGCATCTTAAACTCTGCCCAAATTTGATTTTTTAGATTTTTCTGAAATATATCTATTTATAGATACATGTTACTAAAAATAGAATTGAGATCCCACTCCAATTTTTTCATGAGGTGACACTCCTAATTCTGAAGTATGAAAACACACACAAGATTTGAAAAATTTCCGTAGACAATTTTTTTTATTTAACCTTAAAGTTCTCAAAAAATACCAAATTTCCCATTTTTCACATTTTCAGAAACAATGTCATTTTACAGGACCTTTTTCTTAGAGTGGGAATAATTCTGGAATAACCGATTATATGCCCTGTATACCTTAAAAGTTGATGTTTTCTTATGATACAATGATTTGTGTTTGAGTTTACTACATAAAGACAAAAATGCATTTACATTTCCTCAATTTTCATGTTTTTATTTGGTCAAAAAGGGCCAAAAATGGCCAAATTCAATTGACCCGTCTCCATGGCAACCGGGTGCACGTGTGAAACTTCTAACACCATATTTCCTAGTTTTGTGCCAAGATGCACCTGTGGTGCAAATTTCATCAAAATCGGAGAGATGTCGTTTCCAAGATTTTTTGGTGCTTACAGAGAATGCATGTTAAATAAATATTTCCTTTAAATACACTATCAATTTAATTCGCTCGAAAGATAATAAATTAACAGGATATCCGCAGTACTATGTATAACTCTCAGAACTAGTTCTATCATATTTTCTGTAGTAACTGAATTAAAAAACGCGTTAGAAATAAATATTTTCGTAATTTTGCTGCGTAATTATTTGACTTGGATAATTATATCTCCATTAACGATTTGTCGTCTTTAACAAAACAACAAAATTGCCCTTAGTTAAATTTAATATTTCAACATCGTTCTACATAGGTACAGAATGTGCTTATAACAACATTTATTTTCCAGAGTAATTTAATAAATAACCTAATAGCTAAGTTAGAATAATAAAAATATATATCTTAGATATTTTCCCCCATGAAATAATGATTCTTCAAACACGATATGTTAGTTATTAAATTAAAAAATCTGTAACTCCTTACCTACAAAAAGATAAGTCCTTTCACTTTGGAGTTCCGAATGGCAAAGAAAACTGAACGATGAACGCAAAGTGAACGGAACGAAGAGCGAACGCTGAACGCTTTGTGAACGGTGAACGCGAGCGCACGGTGAACGGTGAACGCAAAACTGTGAACGGAGAGCGAACGGTGAACGCACGGTGAACGAATGGTGAACGCACGCTGAACGAACGGTGAACGAACGGTGAGCGAACGGAAAAATGGGAAAGTAGAACGTTTCAGGGACCGTAACAGGTCCATTATGGAGACTCATAGAGTGTAACAAACATGTGTTAGATTTGAATAAAGATTACTACACATTATTAATGTACTTTGAGAAAATGAGTGAAGATGCCACCTCTTTTATTTCTGGAGAAAATCATCCATTTTGCACTGAGATTATGGAGAGAGATGAAGTATATGAAATGCTTATTAAACCAGATGAGAACATTGACAGCATAGCATGTGCCTGTGCACAATTAATATTTCAAGGACTGCACAAACTGCTGCAGAACGCGATGAAGGAACAACTCCCTGGGGGTAGGTATTATGAAGTAACACAAAGTTTACAACAACAAACAATGTCTGTAATCCCCCACAACAAAATGCCAGAGAGGGTATTCGGGATGCTTGATTTTTTTCTCCGCTATAGACCCAATGCATCTACAATCACCAATGAGGCTTTTCTGATGTTTGTATTCAATAAAACATCACAGTGGTTGGAATCCCTTCCAGATGCTGAAGAGAGTTAATAATACAGGATAGTATTAAGGATGGTAGAAAAGTAAGGGAAAAATACACTGAAAGACTGAAAGAAATAGACATTCAGAGAAAAGTAAAGCTGAGAGAAAAACAACTAGCCTTGGAAAAAAAAACAGAGAAGTATATTGAAAAAAAAAATCAAAGTACACCAATGATGTCCTTTACTATGGCTTATGGCAAAATGTAGAAGATGTTGACAAAATACTGGATGAATTAAAAAGTCAGACAGGAAAAAAGAAAGCAATTTTGGCACAATTAAGGTTCAGACAAAAAGTCTTAAAACAATGTGTAAGTGACAGAAAATTGTTCCAAGTAAGTGAAAAGAATAAAGCTTATTCATTAGAGAAACTTACAGGGAACTTGAAAAAATTAATTCAGGATGCTGCAGAGGGACCATTGGAGGCAAGAACACATCATAAGAATCCTCTTTTTTTTGGGAAAAAAATCATACACTAGTTTAATAAAGGACAGTGGTCAGGGAGAGTTATAAGTGTTGTTAAAGGTTTTCCAGATTTTTACAATGTTGTTTATGACTGTGATTTAAATGATCAGTCTAGCCCAGTTGCCGTTTACACCTACAAGTTGAAAGATGATTATAAAGAAGGGAATTTGGGAATTGTTCCGGAGGTAAAAAGGTAAACAAGTTTATAGTTGCTGAAGCTAACACCCAATTAAGTTGACACACAAGTTGAATCTCTCTGGGAACTGCACAGAAATGTTAACAAACACTAATCAGAATTTTGATCCAGAGGTGCACCTAATACACAAATTATTCTGTCTGCAACACTGCACAAAAATTCACTTATGCTGATTTTGGTTTTTGTCCAAAGGGTTTGATTGCTAGTTTTTCATAAACTTTCTTATGTAATATTGATTCAGGAAGAACTATTATAATTACTGTCCAGTTATTATTTCATCTCTGACTTTGACCTTTTGACTTTAGAGTGAAAATCATAATTAGATTTAATTGATATTTTTCAGCTGTTTAATTTTTATGTTCATAATGCATTTAATACTGTAGTTGTACGTAGTACACATATTTGAAATGATCAATTTATCAGAAAAGCTAATGGGAAAATTATTCACACTTTATCAATTAATGCTTAAGATTTTGGACATGATATGCACTTTTTAAAGCTAACTGATTCTTTTTTTTTCACTTCACAGATTTCAACTGAGAGCTAAAGAAGACGAAGTGGACAACAAATGTAAAATATACATGTATTAAACGAATCAAAGGCTTAATATGAAATGTTTTAAATTTTTTTTTTTTCGTATTTTGGTTCATTAACAACAATATGCAGATTTTTTCAATAATATTTGTTAACATATTAATTATTATGGATATCAAGTGAGCACAATGGATCAAATAGAAATGCAACGGTCCCTGATACATACCCTACCACTTCAAATGGTGTTTAACAAATTATGTCACTTAATTTTTTTTATTCTGAGGTTGAAAGGGTCACATACTTCATGGACATTTTTCTAAAATATTAGTAGAAAATTTGACTGGGGGTAGTCACATTACAATGCTATAACTTCTTTATCTTAAGAGTTATAAAGTTCAAATAAACTGCAAATAACTTGTAAAAGGTGAATTAATCACCCAGTGTAAAAATAACTGTGATTTCTTTTTCATGAAAAAATCCTTTATCATGCCTACATAATATACAAAACATTTTGCTAATAAAGAAATGCACTAAAAAAAGAAAAAAATTAATCATAATATTTTTCAGAGATGGTTAAAAAGTTACAAGGTAGCTATAGAATCTTTGGACCCGAATATTTGACTAGCAATACTTACAGGCAGCCTGTCTGTTGAAGAGTTCTTGCAATTTGTTTCATTGCTTTGTCAAAGTTGTTGTTCCTCAATACTCCTTATGAGAATAAGAAATATGAATTCTTTACCATGAAGTCATCGTTAATAAAAATTCAAGACAAGACTACGATAATTTTAATTTAACTGATTCATCATGAGGCATTGCTTTGGTTAGTGTCTGTTTTGTCATTTACTAGGTTTTTAACTTGTTTATTTTCATGTGTGTTGCATAAAAAAAAAGAAAAGTACATCTTTAAAAAAATATCATCATGAATCTGTTAACCAAAGTTTTTATTATGCGATAGTCTGCATATTAAATAGATTCGTGTAATTTGCTGTCAATTATTTTCTAAGTTGTACATATTTTTTTTCAAATTGATATCAATAAATATCAAATGCAAGATCGTAGTACACAAACCTTTTCGGTTTGCCTTCATCTTTTCAAGCAAGATAGTGTTAAACATACCTTTTCGGTTTACTTTCATTTTTTTTCTTATTAGGTATCCCCTCATTGGAATTTTAAAACCCTTTTCGCTATGTGCTTGTTCGATTTAACTACTCTCGTCTAACTAGTTTTCTTTCAATATATTTACTTAGCATAGATAAACATCAATAATAAAATGCTATGTTAAAGCCTACTCTCAAATCAACAAATCGTAAGCATTTTAAATGCCAATACAAATGCTCCAAGAAACGGAATTTGCAGATGACAAGTTCAACGACAAAACAGTTTTATTTGTTGTCGATCAACTTGAGCAAACATATCTGAGGAGTAACTGGCAGTGACAATTGCTCGGATATTCATAGTTTCAAATTAGGCGTTCCATTAATTCTAGATCTATTGAAAGCATACTTTTTTTTATTATACATGCATAATGGTTTTAACTAACTATCTGATTAGCACAACTTCAAGCAGTTTAATAATAAATAAGTAAACAAACGAACCAAAAGAAAACAAACAAACAAACAAACAAACAAACAAACAAACAAAAAAAAAAAAAAAAAAAAAAAACAAACAAACAAACAAAAAAAAAAAAAAAAAAAAAAAAAAAAAATAGCAAATTAATAATTAAATAAATAGATGAATAAACAAATGAGTAAATAAATGCTGACTGATGTTTGTCATACTAATTGTTAGGCCATTATTTATACACTGAATTGTCGACAAATTCGTCCGTTATCATGACAAGGAGCACACGGCCGCCGTGACCGGTCGGCAGGGGATGCTCACTCCTCCATGGCATCTGATTCCACCTCTAATGTTTAAGAGGTCTATGTTTGCTCTTCTCCAAAATTTGTATTGTTTCATGGACTTTTGAGCTTTAATATTGTTCGTTATCTCTATATATTTCATACAAAAAAAAAATACTAATAAAAATAATGGAGTAAAGAAATTTGCCAGAAAATTCCCAGAAAATTCCCAGTTGCCATTTTTGTATGTGAGGATTTTTGTCGATTTTCACTCTTGTTAATGAATGCACATTATTTTTGTTTTATTTTGATTTCTATTAAAGTATTGAATAGACAGAGTTGATTTCCTCTCCGTTGAATATTTTTACACGATGAAGTTAAACTCCAGACTTTACGAAAAAGATGTCTCAATAAATTTCTTTCAATATTTATAAAAGGTGCGTGCTTCATGGAGGTCTGCGTAACACATTCAAGGTCTTCTTTTTCCGCCTGTCGGGAATGCCTAAGACGTTGTGATTTATGCATAAGATCTACAAAGCAGTTGATATTCGCATGAGATATAATAAAGAATATGACGAACAAACTACATGAATACGTTCTATTTCCACCATGAAAGAGTTATAGTTTTTAGTGTGCTCTTTTGTGAAAAAGTCGGAAAATGTATAAATCTCTCGGGATTTCAGGGACAATCATAACAACATGTAAACAGTATGTTGAATGTCGATGAAAAAAAAAAAAGCCTAACAAACATGTAAATGAGACACTGTATTGTTGTGGACTTAACATGCATCAGAAGTAGAAACAACATCTTCAATTTTTTAGTAATGACGGTTCGTCTCTAAATACAATATACATGCCTCGGAAACGTCGTAATGTTTATCAATGGATGATAAAATCTGAGCTTTTGCAATCTCACATATGCCTATTAGTTTTTCTATTATTTAACCGGAATGGGAAATATATCTAATATTCAAAATTGGATTGAGATCGTCATGTTTGTATTCTCCGCTACGTCATTGTTGTCCCAGTCAGACGACCAAACGCGCCTCTAATTTGAAGAGTTCAAGTAATGGAAATAGAAAGTATTAAGAGTGTTGCAATATATGTAATTATTTTATCTAAAACTTGTACATATCAATTAGACTTTGGATAGAAGGATACAATATAGATGAGAAAAACCAAAAATTGTGCTTGTGAAAGCAGAAGTAATTAACGTGAAAATTCCTCAAAATGACATATATTTGCTGTATTAGAGACACAAGAAAACAAACAAACAAAGAAAAACAAAACAAAACAAAACAAAAACCAAAAAAAAAAAAAAAAAAAACAAAAAAACAAAAAAAAAAACAAAACAAACAAACAAACAAACAAGCAAAAAACAAAAAAAGCATCGGACTTATTTTAAGGCAATTTCTCTATTCAGGCGGTTTAGAATGGCATATTCGTATATTAAAATTCAACAGAAACGTGAAAATGAAGGCCATAAATATAAAAAAAAAATCAATCTCATTATTTACTGTATTTATATAGTAAACAATTTTAAGAATGCAATGTGGACACGTTAAAACAACTTTGTAAAAATCGCAAAAAGAAGTATCGACCGGTTAATCCGGTTTTAGAAAAAGCTGAATAAAAACTACTATTAGAAAAACATGTCATCCTTTCTAAATGTATATATATATATATATATATATATATATATATATATATATATATATATATATATATATATATATATATATATATATATATATATATATATATATGACATATGGCTTTAGGAGACCAAGGAGGATATATTTTCTGGCTTAGGGAGACCACTGGATTAAGGCGACCTTTTTCGGTCTCCCTATTATTTTGACCTCATCAGTATTGCAAATGTCTTTTTATAGATAAATAAACAGTCTGCCATTAAATATTATTAATCTTTAACTCTGTTATTTAACATTCAAAAGTTGTCTAATTCCTATCATCTTCCCTAAAAAAGAAAAGAATGTATAACCTACGTATAATTTCAAAGGATAATTTTTCTGCATTTTGGAGACCATGAAAAACATGCAATTAAACAAAAAATCTAGCATATATATTTTTTCCGCTTTTGATATGTTCAAATGAGTGTTTCTTTAACTTAGTTTTCCACTTTTTATGTTAAAAACCTAAAAAGGAAAAATATTGTAAATTTATGGACCATGTTTTGAATTCTTAGCAAGTGCTTTCCGTCATTTGTTCCGAATGCCATCGGAATGCCTCTTCAGTTTTCAGAAAATGACCTCTGAACACCATGAATGTTGAGAAATTTGGGTAAGTAACTAAAATGATACAGTAATAAGTTGTAATTAAGAATACGCAAGACAAACATTCGTGTTTTTTTTTTGTTTTTGTTTTGTTTTTTTTTTTTTTGCCTAGTAATTTAGCTTTTAAGAGAAAAAGTATGATTTTAAATAATCATTAGACTATAGTTCGGTATATAAAATCCTGAAGGAAATTCGAAATAAAGTTAAATGATAGGCCCCTATATTTTTAATTCTTTTATGCAAGTCCATAAACAAATTGCAGAAAATATTTAAAGATTAGGCCGAACGTAGAAAAAAATAGTCTCGCAAGTTGACGCAGCTATGTCGAGCTTAAAAATTTAAATTAAACTTTCTGTAAACATCATGCAGGACATGATCATCATGATATAGTATAAATGAAACAGACCCTGTAAGAAAAAAATAGCTGTAATTTAATAATTATTTATTAATATAATGTGGTCCTCTGCTGTTAAAATACATATGCAGTAAAAAAAGGGTGAAGCAGATTTGATACAATACATGGCTGAAGGAACGTACGAAATGAAATTTAGGTATACTATAGAAAACATTGCTCCTTTATGTTTGGACCCCCTCAATAATAACCTCTGATGATCTATTTTTTACTTTTGCTTTTGGCCCCCCTAAATAATAACCTCTGGTAATGTATTTTTCTTTTGCTTATTAAGAAATTTTTAGTTTGTAGCCTCCCCCAACCTGAAACTGAAAAATGTTGTTTGGTTGTGCTCACCCCCCCCCCCCTCTCCAACTAAATTACGTACGGGCCTATTCTCCATCCCTGAGGTTTTCTTTCACCAAAGAAAGATTAATTGGTAACAGTTCAGATATATAGCAATATTTACGGAAGGGAATATTCTCGTTTAATTATGAAGATGTGACAGTAACTAAATGTTACACAGTGAGTGTAACATTTATTTAATATTATTGTAACAGTTAATGTTTACAAATAGTGAAATACTGATACTATGAAATTTTAATGGATATATAGAAAAAAATACAAGTACAACCATTATTGTAAACCACATACACGAAAAGCTTTTTTTTTTCCAAGCAATTGGAAATTCTTTACAAATCATTATCGCAGCCTAGTTCCCTTCATTATTTTCAGCAGTTCAGTGACGGAGATAAAATGATCATTTGGGGTTTATACCCCCCCCCCTCCCCACCAAATGAAACTAAAAAATGTTTGGTTTTGGTCCCCTTCAACTGAAATTGATTCCTACTTACCATGCTTACAGGCTTAACTATGAAGATGTGACAGGGAGTGTAAAAACAATAATTGTTCAGACGGATACATAAGCTGATATAAATATCAAATTTTAATGGATAGATAGAAATTAATATACAATTACAACCATTTATTATAAACTACATAAAGATAATTTTTCAAGCAATTTGAAATTCTTCATTTTTTAAGATAATATTTTATTTCGTATATATATGTTTATAGGTTTATTCGTATCAACAAATCTGTGTACGAGTTAATAACGCACCTTGGGTTCCCTGCATTTTCAGTGACAGAGAACCAGATATAAGAATGCAGGGAAACAAGCCTTGTTACAAGGTTTGAGGTTTGTTTATTTTATATTTTAATTTACACTTTTTTAAAATTATTATGCAAAACTCTGTGTGCAGATGAATATTTACATTTTAATGTTATAAGTCGTTTTGTGGTTCATTTATTTGCGGTGACTGTCCCATGTGTGTTTACCTGTTTACATTCACCTACTGACCTAGAGTCTTCAAAATATACCTTCTGTAATCATGACTGTTGTAATCTTGTTTTTATGTTAGTTTACCATATGTAACTTGACTGTTGTATAGATTTATAGCGATCACTGCAAGCTTTTAATATTTATGTGAAGAGAAATTTCAGACTATCAATCACAGGCACTTGTTTCATATACGGTGCACCCCTACTTATTTTTACCACAAGGTATCTAACTCAATTTTAGGCACCCTGCTTCAAGCTCGTATTTTGTTCATATATCAATCATTAACCTACTTTAAAATGACATTGTTCGCTTCATG